CGTGGAATGTAAATGATCATCCTTGTTCTACTTAATCGATGCATTGAAAGTAATTAGTTTTGATAAGGGTACATATGTTCGTATAGGCTATATTGCTTCAAAAGTCAAGTCTTTCAAGGATATATATATGCTGGGTTGTATTAGCATAGTACTTTCCAAAAATTGCTTTTTCAACTCTGAAAACAATGACACATTATCTCTATTCTCCTCTGAGATATATTCGAATTTGCAAAAACGCAGGCATCTTGCACACTTTCTAGCAAACCTATGTTTATGTCTCTGAAGATATAGCCGCAAAAAAGTGCCCTGCAGGATCAATGAGAAGTCCCCTTACTATTCATGATAAGTTCATAAGAATGCTCCGAAGTTATAATAGGAAAATTCATTCCATCAATCGCCAGGTCCCATTACAGATTAGCTCTTGATGACTTTCTTCTTCCTTCCTCTGTTTTTTAACCAAGGCAAGCTACTAACACATAAATTGATATTACAGGAATTTCAACAATTGAAACTTAACTATGCATTCGCAAGTATCCTCCTTGGCACATGGTCCCACCATGAATTTACAGGGTTTATGTTATTCACATATTTGTTTTGTTTTCTTCACTTTTTTCATTCTCTTGAAAAATAAAACAAATAATAATCAAGCAGATACTCTAGAATACTCTAGAATAGCCTTGAAAACTTGATATACTTAGATTGCCCAACACCAAAGGGATTTTCAGTGTCCTATATTCTTCTGAAGACGCCAACCAATAGATGGCAATAGCTATATTTTTCGTTGCACCCAACGGCTCTTCTGCAATCTTTAGAACCGAGGCTAAAGTGTTTTCCAATCTTAAACAATGATTTCAGTTAATTTTCGTTTTTACCTGTGTACAGTCTTATATCTTTCTTTGTCCTTTAAGTCATTAAGTACGATTTTTTCCTACCAATAAATAATTGATTTCCCCCCTCAGTTTCTTTGGGGAATTTTGAAAGTTACTGTACTCTTATGCCCAAATAGTAAGAAAATACCCCTTTTCTATAAAAGATCACAATTCTGAATTTGTTCATCTACTTTTATGTGAAAAGAGGATTTACTTACAGAACATAAATTTCGTCTGAACGCATAGCAATTTAACTTTTACTTAGGTGTATAGATTAACTTATATGTAAATTTGCATACATAAGCAAAATTTCGTCGTATGAATTGGGTAAATCAGAATTAAATAAAATAAAAATAAAAAAAAACATTTATCAAATAAATTCCAAAACGGACGCGCCAAGCAGAGGTCATACTAATCTTACTCATCTAACACTGCACATAATGTATATAAGATTATGTCCGTAAACATGTTTTCAGATGATTTTAATCGCATTGTTAGAATCGTAAATTAAATTAAAAGTCCACTTAAATTTTATATAAACAGCAACGAAATAGTAAAAACGTGAGTACATAGGCATTTCTGGTGTAAATTGCATTTTTACATATCAATAAAGTACATATAAACATTTGCAAACCAAGACCCAAACACGTGAATTTTCCCCCTATCCCATCCCTCCCAAATCAATTTAGCGGTAAAATACACATATCTGATGCTTTTATTTTTCACGGAAATGAAACAACATCTGAAGTACAGTGCATCTAATATATTATAACATGTTTCACAATAAACGTCAAATCAAATAATGAATTTGTTATTTTTTCATGTTTTTGCAAAAGACAGTTGGATTGAAGACGTTCATCTACATCTTGTGGGATTTCAAACAAAGTATGTCTTCCTTCTGTTTGTTTCTGGCTGTAGTTATAACAATAAATTCAAATCACCTCGCTAACGTGGGGTTTCATATAGTACGATATAATTAACAAGCTTTGCTCTTCTATTGATACACTTTGAAAAATGAACTCTCAATTCTAAGAATCAATTTTCAAGGAACTATTTATTGATAAGAGAATATAAACATGAAAAATATTTGCAAACCATTATACCGGAAATTCCGATACATGAGTTTCAAACTAGTACCATGGTTATATAAGAGGAGTTTCCTGTATAAATCTATAATTGGATATTAGATGAAATCAGCGACAGGGGCTTATGTTATTTTGTTTCCTGCTCTAGTGGAAATCAACTTGTTATCAACATTATTTTGATCCTATGAAATTTCTTATTTTAGTTTTATAAATGTTTTTATTATATGTTCAAAAAGTTTGCAACAATTGTTTGATAATTCAATTGCCTTATTCCTTCGTTATTATTTCTACTTAAAATGGTGATCGGTAAGTGAGGTCATTAAAAAAACCCATGTTTTTTTAAATTTCAATTATCATATTCCTGTATAAGGGACTTAGGGTACAAGTATAAATTCTTCTTTTCCTTATACAAAAAAGATGACATTTCCTGCTTACTCATCATGTATAGGATTCGTGTCTATTGAGCGGACATGGGAGGGGAAAGCTAAGTATTAGGAACTTGTGTCCAATCCCTTTAGCATATTGTCAATAGAATATGTTCAAAACGACATTCTATGTAAAATATTTATTTTTGAAGAGGGCTAAAATAGGCTTTGCCTGCTACCTTTAGCATTTTTAAAATCAAATTATATACAAATAAGTTACAAAATATCTTCACATACATATCCAAATTGTATTGATGAATAAAATATATGGTATTAAGCAACACAAAATAGGAGTGGGGAAAAAACAGACCTCCAAAACATCAGAGAATCATTTGTCTAAATCTAATGATAGACCACGAAAGCCCGTATGGCTTTTTAAAGGGGTTTTCTTATTTCCAATTGGGTTCTCGTTATGCAGGTGACAAAGGTATTTCGCTGCATAAATAAGGAAAGTTGACGATTCAAAAGATCAAGTGATCACGTTTAATACAAAGTTTTGTTGTTATATGTATTCTGTTGCAACCTAACTCTTTTTGTATTTTATCAATGTGATGTTAACTTGTGCTAAAAACCATATGAATATAAAAACGTGCAGGGGCGTATAACCAAGAACATTTGTCATGATAACAAAATCCAATACTTCAGAAATCAGTATCGTTTTACCAGCATTGGTTTATTTTAGGGTATCTAATGAAATACTTATTGACATATTAAAAATAATAATTCTCTACTTTTAGTCATGTTGTTCACAAACTGTTTAATATCCACAACGTCCTGTTTAAAAGAAGTTAAAATTCTCGTCTCTAAATACCTGATGAATTTTTTTTTTTTGATTGATCATTTTGAAAAAAAAATAGAGATAGTTTATATCTCCTTGGACAATTTTTTTTTCATGAATATCTTTATTGAGCAATATATTATATGGTGTGACCCTAATTGTTTAGCTGTGGCCTTCTACTCGACATTAAAATATATCGATGACGTTGTTAATAAACAATGATATTTTAATTTTTTTCGAGAAGTTATATCCCGGTGAGCCCGAGATAAAAGATACCACAGAGTCTGACACATTTGTTTCATATTTGGATATTTTACTCGAAAAAGCGGTAATAGTATTCTAACAACCAAGCCCTCTTTAAGCAACCAGGGGATGCTCACTCCTCCATGGCACCTGATCCCAACTCAGATGTTTCGAAGGTCCGTGTTTGCTCTGCTCATATTTTGGTTTATGGACTTTGATATTTAATAAAATTTGTTATCTCCACATTCCTCTTGATAAAAGTGATGACTTTAACTTTTTAAGCTTCCCTTACTTATGCCCGCAATACACCTTAATTCATCACTTGCATACGGAATTTATGTATCTTAGTTGATTTGATACACAAGAGCATGCGATTTCTAAAAAGAGGTAAATTATTGACAAACAAGTTGATGAAATAAGAATATCAGTAATTTCTTTTCAAGTTATCATTTCTTTAGGTTCTTTGGTCTAAACAATGACCTTGACAGCAAATACAATTTTTCTTAATGCTGACTGACGTGTTTCATACTGATTGCTAGACCATTATACAAACACTGAATTATCAACAGATCTGTCCCGTTATTTCCTGATCATGAAAAGGAGCACATGGTGGGTGAGACCGGTAGGCAAGGAACGCTCACTCTTCTATGGCACCTGATCCCACTTCTGATGTTTTGGAGGTACGTGTTTGCTCTGCTGCCATTTTGTATTATTTTATGGATTTTTATCTTGAATACTATTCGCTATCTCATATATTACACTGTACCTTAAATTTAAGATTCATTATAACTAACTTGGCCCCAAAACCAAACTAAAAGGTGCGACGTATGTGGACTTATTGAAAAAAAAAAACATTTTTACAACCCTTTTCCCGAGAACAGTAATTAATAAGTTACCCTTCAAATTTTTTTAAAAGATGTATCCCGTTGGTTATATAATGGAATTGAAAAGTCTATTTCCAACATGTTATAGAACAAAAACAAAACACTTATAGCTTATATCTCTGAAGAAACCATCTGAAATAATTTCTTGGCAAGTTTCAAGTGTGCACAACTAGCATAAAACATTTTCTTGTTTTAACTTAACAGGCATAATACATATAGGTTTAAAGAAGTCTTTATTATCAATTTCATTCATTTTATTTACCTTAATTTTTACTCATTATAATTTCGAAATGTAACCTATGATGCTTTTACATAAGTATATGATTTCTAGTTTACTTAAACAATAAAATGCTTTCTTTGTTTGTTGTTACTGGAATGAACGGAAGCAGCTGTTGCAGAAAAAATACATAACCCGCGTAAGCGGGTTATGTAGATTTTTTCTGCAATAGCTGCGACCGTTCATTCCAGTAATAACAAACAAAGAAAGACATTTTATTGTTTATATTCATATCTGTTTAAATAATCAATTAAAGTAGGATAAAAAAAGATTAATTATTGTATTAATGATGCGAACGTCTTTATACGTTTCATTGATGGAACAGCCACTGATTAAGAAGTCTGTACAGGCGACATGCCTACTGCAGTTTATGCAGTGATGAACGCAATGGGGTTTCTTAAGAAATAAAGGAGAAAATATTCAGTGGATGTAAATATTTTATCTTATTATTCTTGATGAACAACTTCAAGATATATTGCATTGTTATCCGGACAGTGTTCTACGTCAAGGTAGTCTCCATCAGAAATAGACAGAATTAAAGCACTAGAATCGTTAACAGTATCATCATATTGAGAAGAGGAATCGTTCTCCTGCTCCTCGTCTGTATGGACACTTGTCACGGGGACATTATGTATATCCGGGTCCACTACTTGTATGTAATTGTGTCTGTTAGTTGTTTTCTGGGGTTTGAGGTAGGATGACTCACTCTCCTCTGAACTGTTGCTTTCTTCTGTTGAAGAGTGATTATTTCCCTGTACTGTTTCTATCACAGGCTTTCCTACGTCTTGAGAAGAATTGTTTAATACCTGATATGAATGAGCTTTTTCTGCATATAAGTGTGACTCGTCACAATACTTTTTATTCTTTTCTATGCCTTGATAATCCCGCTTAAAATTATCGATTACTATATTCATATCGTCAATTTCATGATATATTTCTTGTTCTTCTGCTGGTACCTTTGGTGTTCGTGGTGCAGCTCTAGTAATCTTTTGTTTCTTTTGCCTCATCTTCAATGAACTTTGAATCACTAATATAGCCAGGAATAAAGCAATGACCCCTCCCGTAACTGCAATTACAGGAATGTAGTTATATGGCGTCTGTGGAATAACAAACGGTGTTGTAGACTTCGGAATTTTAATAGATGTAGTAAGGAATGTTTTAATTGAAGGAGAGCTCTGAACAGTAGATGTGGGAACTGCTGAGGTCGCTGTTGTGACCTCTAGATTGACCTCTGTAGTGACCTTCAATGTACCTCTGACAGTTATTGTGTCAACACTGGTAGCAATTAGAACTGTGGATTCAGCATTGGTTGAGGTAGTTTCTTGAATTTAAATTGTTACAAATACAGAGAATATTAGAAGTAAATTATATCTTTGATATTGGAATATTTCTGTGTATTGTGATAAGTACGAATAAAGATAAAAATAAAGATAAAAAATAGATTACTTGGGCATCCTGTAACTCTATCGCACAGTTCCCGGGGGCACTTCTGGCACGTCCGTGAGCAGAGCTTCCCGTAGGAACCCCGGCTACATGGTGCACTACAATTATCTCCATAGTAACCAAGAGGACAATCTGATAATATTGGTAAATCATTATTATTGTACTCATAATTGCAAATACTGGTCAATTAAACGATTATCTCGTATATGTAAACTTTAATTTTAACGTTGCATTAACTATAAAAGAGTACGGAATACCTCCTTACCTAAACACGTTGTTCCGTTGAAGAAATTGTTATAACAGCATTTATTGTTTACTCTGTAAAAAAGTAAATCCTTTAATTTTCATCAAATCAAGATGAGTGTTTAGCAAATGAACCAGATGAAACAATTTTAGAAAATTATACTCACCCAACACTGCACATAGTGATGGGAGGTCCAAGGAATTGCTTATAGAATGAAAAATAAAAGTAAACAAATTGCATTCATAAAATTCTATTCAGATATATCCTACATATTTTGACAAACTACAAAGCCACTTCACCAGGAAATCAAAACAAAATATCACCCGTTTTTACGGCGTCACGGAATAAAAAGAATTGTCCTTATCAACTTTTTGAATCATTTTGATAGTGAGTAATCGCATAGTATCTATTTTCTTTATTTGTCTCATTTTTTTGTCTTGTTAGAATTCATTTTCATTCAATGGAAATAGAAAAGATCCTGAAGCAGGCAGGACATTTGTTGTCCAGTGGATATTTTTAAGTGGTCCTGTGTTTGTTTGTTTCTTTGAGGTTTCCCTTTTTATGTATATCCCAACGCCACCACTCGCCGGAGGAAGGCTGCAAATATCCAGAACCATACCCGGCATTTCGCCATGGAGAACTCCTTTTCTGCAGCTATTTACTTTGACAGTAAACCTCGATTAATATGGTCTCCTTCGAACGATCTGTGTAGTGAGCTTCAAACAGACGAAGTATGCATCAACTTTTAATTTCTCGACTATAGAGTTAATACTCTATCTACTTCAGCACCCCGGCGACGTCTGTATTTTGTAATTTGTTTTTTCGGCAAGTATAGTAATTCTTGAATTAAATCCAGGAATGTTATTTATTTGCATCAGTTTCTTGAAAAACAAATTAATACAAAGTAAGGACAAAAATACAATCGCCATATCATATCGCGATTTTTAATAATGATATTGATTCTTTGCTTAAGGTGTAATATCCCTCTGATAAGAGATAACTTTCTGAAGACAATTTTGATAAGAGAGGTAACTCTCTGAAGACATTTTCCACGAAATTCAATTAATTGTCATGTCAGATCTTACAGATTTCATTAATCAGGACGACTTTATAGCCCAACTCAACCTGACCTGTTTAACTGTTCAGCTGTAATTTTCTAGTTTCTATATCCAATATTGTGACCTATATGCTAAAAAGAGCTTTTTCGAACTTTCACCTTAACTTTTAAATCATGAGAGACAGAGACTTCAAATTTAGGATGCATACTCCACTAACGAATCTCTTTCAAATGATACCAAGGTCATGTCCTTGTGACCTTGATTGACCTATATGCTAAAATAGCTTTTTAGAACTTTCGCAATAATTATTTAACCATGAGAGAAAGAGACTTCATATCTAGTATGCATACTTCACTAATAAAATCCTTTCAAATGACATCAAGGTCAATGACCTTGTGACCTTGACCGTGACTTATCTGCTAAAAATAGTATTGTTCAACTTTGTTACCTCCGGGCGCATAGTGTTTCACAAACACATCTTGTTTTGAAAGTATTTAGCATTATGTCTAACGTTCACAAAACGCATATTTTAACATTAATTTAAGATAGCCATTTTAAACTAGTACATTTGCCATACATTAGCAAACATGTATGTTTCCATTTCCATTGCTACCTGTTTTGAAAAATCGAAGTAATTTTAATCTTTTTAGAAATATTATATTCTCCAACAAAGCTTTAAGAAATCGTAGGCATATTTTCAAGAGAGAGAGAGAGAGAGAGAGAGAGAGAGAGAGAGAGAATGTGTACGAAAGCCCATTTAGGACCTATCGAAAAACATTTTTGAATCCGATATAACGAATTGTCGAATTTGTTATAACAAATTTAATTCGTTATAACGAATTTAATTCGTTATAACAATTTATTTGAATTCGTTATAATGATTTTAATCGGTCAGTGGCGGATTTAAGGGGGGCGCACCCGGCGCCCCCCCCCCTTAAAATTGTCAAAGTTAACGTAAATCTCAGTTTCGTCTAGAAAATGTAAATATGTCTACTTGGTAGACCTCATTTTTACCCTACAAAATCTCTAGAATCCAGGAGCTTCCGGGGGCTTCGCCCCCTGGGCCCCCACCAGGGCTTTGCGTATTAAATTCGTTAAAACGAATTCGACAAATCGTTATATCGAATTCATATATATTTTTTCTATAGGCCCTGATTATTGAATTTGATTAAACGAATTTAATTCGTTATAACAAACTTTGGAATTTGTTTAAACGAATTAAATTTGTTATAACAAACTTTAGAATTTGTTTAAACGAGTTTAATTTGTTATATAACAAATTTTTGAATTCGTTTTAACGAATTTAATTCGTTATAACAGATTAAAGAATTCGTTATAACGAAATCAACAAATTTGTTATAACAGATTAAATTCATTATAACGAATTCAAAGAAATTGTTATAACGAATTAAATTTGTTATAACAAATTCGACAATTCGTTATATCGGATTAAAAAATATTTTTTGATAGGTCCTAAACTGGCTTCCGTAAAAGCGGGTATTATCTGTAAAATCGCATATATACTTCGATATTAGCGTATCGTCGAATCCAAGAAATCGGGTATTCCATGCAACTTTCTGTAAAAGAAAATAAAGCAACGGCGCATTTTATGCCAGTTATTGATATATGTACATTGATATACACATGTATTGGGGATTTATTTTCATGCGACCCAATTTATATGGTTTTCCTACAAGTTTAAAATCATTGAGCAATTAATGCTTGGGAAGCAAAGAAGACCCGGTGGCATAATTATTTTTCAGTATAATTTCTAGAAAGAAAATACATGTTGTCCCAATGCATTATTCCATTGATAAGCTTAATTTTCTAATTTGTGCACTATTCACAAAATATGAAACTGAAATTAAATTTAACTTAAAAAATTTTGTCTCGGCAAAATTCAGTTTGTTCAACTCTTTACAGAACACCGACTACGGACTAACAAAGTGAGGAAGTTTTGTTCTCGAACACTTCCAATCTAAATTTTATGGATTATAGTTTAAGTACTTTTCAATTTCGATTTGAAATACGATTTTTATTATATTTTTGTGTGAAATGCAATAGCAATAATTCAAATCTGTGTCGAAGCACCTTTAAGTTTTCTAAGGTGATATCACACAATTTCGCGGATAGAACGATACCCCGATTTCAAGGAGTATACGCGATTTTACGGATAATACCCGATTTTGAGTATTCTCTCCAACCTGTATAGTGTACCGAGAGACTTTTGGAGATGAACGTGTCGTGTTTTCGGATATCCGTGCAGACTTCTCACAGTATCTGGAAAGGAGGAGTGTTTCTTGGGGCTTGACTTTTCTATATCTATTAAAAAAAAGATTCTTTAGCATTGATAAAGGCTAGCTCTCCCACTTATACAGAATTATAGATATAAAAATGCATACTTGGATTCTCACAGCCATAGGCTGGATGGCATTCGAAAATTGTGCAATTTTTGCACCCGTAACTTCCCTTTGAGCATGCGTTGATACAATTGTTTCCAAATAATCCCAGGGGACATTCTAATTGTAAGACATGTATGTATTCATAAATATGAATATTCTAATATATATCTATACATTGAGATGCCACTTAAATAAAGAAATATTTGAGATTGTAATAAAATTCATTTATTAATCGCACTATTAAGGTCAACGATTTAGTGTAGATACATGTACTTTAAAAAGAACATGAATTACTAAGAAAAAATGTATTTGATACTCACCTTCACACATATCGCCCACAACACGAAAGTTGTAACTACACTGAACTAAAACGGGTCTGTAATAAGTTTATTATACTATACATGTTTATGGCAAGTGTTAACATAGAGATAATTTGGAACATAAGGATAAAACTGACCTTTTTGGACATCCAAAGTTTTTAATTTGAGAAAATGCCAGTATAAAGAGGCCCATAGATATAAGGACAAGCAACTTAACACTTCGTAAACGAAACTTTTTTAATGCACAATACGGGAAAACTGTTCAAGTCCTTCCTGACGATTCTCATTTCCATTATACAACATCATGAATTTTGGCCTCAGAATAATATCAAAAATTGATACGCTTGTTGTTTTGTTTATTTTGATATATATAAATATTTAAAATAAAATATGTATAATAAAACCATTTTTTAAACTTAGCCAATACCTTTGGTACTAAAATGAAACGATAAATTTAGGACATCCATGTTTGTATTTTTTCTTTCCGATTGTTTTGAAGATGGTGTCAACGTACTCTAAAAAAATATGTTGTGGTTTTCATTTCATTTGTGATTAAACGCACTTGAAAATTTATTTGTTAATATTCATAGAAACAACATACTCCTAGACAAAAATGAAAACGCTCTTGAATTTAACAAAAAAGAATCACTAAGTTATCTCGAGAAAAAAAAATCATGTTTAAGAAGGAAAATACATGTAAGGATTAAGCTACAGATACACTAAGATGGGATTTTTATCGAATCCATGGTCCACAGTTCATACCAGATTATTTAAGATATTTTTTATTCCAAATGCTATTATAAAGAAAAAGTTTAACTCTTTTTGTCAAGTAAATACATAACTGTAAATCTTGGTCAAATAGTGAATCTGGTAAGATAAATAAATTAAAATTAATAATTTATATTTTTCCAAAATAAAAAAAATCATGGTTATTCGTTGTATGGTTTGTATTAAATTTATTGAATTTGATAAAATTTTAGTCTTCATTGATGATTTTCAAGATATTGTAATTCAGGAAAAAACTTCCTTGTTGTTGCGGTCAGTCTTTTACCATAGAAAAGTTTTTGTGACAGACGGACAGCTAGACAGACTGAAGGAGAGACGGACAGACAAATGAAATTTAATGTCCACTCGCTTTCGTGAAAGCAGGGGACAAAAAAGATAAAATGTATTTGTAAACAATGTAGCTCCTTTAAGGGAGTTCTTGACAACAGATAAAGTGTCTCATCTGCAAGTCAAACATCATTCAAGGTAAAGAAACCAAAAATGTTGGAAATCAAAAGAAAATTGTTTTCACAAGGGACACACATGTGAAGTACTTGCACTAATCAGTCAAAAGATATGACCAAGAATAAATTTTGTCAACTCAAGTTCAAGGTAAAGGGGCCAAAATTATGGTACCAAAGGAAAGAATATTACACACGAAATGGTCATTTAAAATGTGAAATACATTATCCCAGTTGCTCAGAAATTATAGCTAGGGTCAAACGTTTATTTCAAATATATAAATTAGCTAAAACGCAAAGGCTAAGTTTTTTCAAAAGTAAGTAATTTTTAGGTTAATGTAAGAAGGTTAAAGTTGCTGATACAAAACAAAAGTAGTTTTTTAGTATTATGTGCTCTTAAATACTGAAACTGATGAACAATTCGGTTCATGTGAACCT